AGAGCTTGTTTATTTTATTTGTTCTTGTGCTTCAATAGAAAACAAAATGGGAAAGGGGGGAACTGCCCGCACAAATTAAGCTCTGCGGTTCCAAGGAATACAGAGTTCTTCTGCTTCCAACATAATGCTAAAAGAGAAACCCAAAATATGTGTGCTAAAATGTGCAAATATTGAACAGTCGTGAACAAAACGAACCTCATAAAAGCACATTTGGATCGCTATTTATAGTGTCTACTACCAAAAAATATTCAGGAAAAAAAAGGAGAATTTGTGTACTTACCATCCTCAACAGCAGCTGAAGCCCATGGAGACATTGCCAGAAGAAGAACAAAGCAGAGAGGAACAAGACCCATCTCTTCTCTCTCTCTCTCTCTTTCTCTCTCTCTCTCTCTCAAAACACTAGAGTGAAGTGTGAAGACGCTCTACTTTACTCTGCTCTCTTCCTAAATTTATAATTGGCGATTACAGTTGTTTTGGCTTTATGCTGGCCACTTCACTTACTTTATGGCCTTATAATCGAAAGTATCTAGCTTTTTTATTTCATTTTTTTTTTATTTGATGTCTCTCTCAATGTCCACCGCTGATTACCTTTGCGCGTTTTACGTACTGTTTGTACTGTGACCACAGACCTCCTCTGCGACCACCACCAACACCATCCCATGGGAAAACTGTGACTTCCCTTTATCCCATTTTCTTATGTTTCTCTTTTGGGTCAATTGCCTCCTAGTCCCTTATATCATTTCTAATTGCCAAGCACTCCCTCAGATCTCATCATTTGTTTGTTAGTCCCTTAAATCTTTAGTCATCTTACAATATGGTCCTTCCGTTAGAAAAACTATTAACTCCTCTAACTCTAGTCGAGTTAATGCTTAACTTAATAACTCAAGTTACCTTATCGCCCCTGAAGTATTCATTGTCCTTGTAAGTTTTGCGTTTAGGGGTTGTTTGGTTGGTTTCCTAAAAATCAAGAAAATAAAAAGGGTACATGGAAATCAATAAAATATTATTTTCATCCATTTTTATCCCTAAAACTCATCATAACATTCAATAAAATATTATTTTTATCTCATATCATCTTCTAAAAATAAACCAAACACAAGAAATGGGTCACATCATCCAACTCATCTCATTTGCATCACATCTCATCTTTAAAAATCACTCACATCATCCAATAATATGATGACAACTCATCTCATCTCATTAACATTTTATTTCCACTTATTTCCTCCAAAAAAGCTAGGAAATCAATTTTCTTAAGTGTGTGTCACATCATCCAATAATATAATGACAACTCATTTCATCTCATCTATTTTCTTATTTTTCTGAATGAACCAAACACAAGAAAACAACCGATTATAGGAAATATGTTTCTTATAATTTATTTTCTTATTTTTTAGCCAACCAAACAACCTCAAAACAAATTTTCTTAAAAAATCACACACGTCATCTAATAATAATGTGACAACTCATCTCTCATTCTTTGATTTCCTTCTTTTTTTTAGCCAACCAAATAATCTCAAAATAATTTTTCTTAGAAATAGCTTTTCTATTCTTTGATTTTCCTCTTTTTTTTTTAGGCAAACAAACAGCCCCTTAGAGGAAAGCTAGTCATGGGAATGACCTTGACTTTGGGTTGGAGGAAGCATGGAACTATTGTTGAAGAAAGAAAGTGGATTTAAGTTGGTATAGGTGAGGGTATAATGGATAATTTACCTAATTCCGTCACATATAACGGTTATTAATAACATCACCCAACACTACGGATTGCAAAGAAAACTAAAGATTTAAGGGACTAATAAGCAAATAATGAGATTTGAGAGACTTTTGGGTAATTAAAGATGATGTAAGGGACCAATATGCAATTAACTCTTCTCTTTTCTTTTTTCAACTTTTTCAGTACTGTGACTACCCTTTATTATCGCATTTCAGAAAGTACCTTGGTCCTAGGGATTCAGGGTTGGTGACTGAAGATGCGGTAGGTAGCTAGATAAATTATAGATTTTTTTATTATAAGCCTGTGGTTTTTTTTTTTTTTTCCATTCATTTGAAAGAGCCATAGAGTTATAGTAATAAGTGGCGACCATACTTATTTCTCCCCTACACTATTTCTATACTATATAAGAGAAGAGAAGTATGAGCTTCATTGATAATTCATTAATTTTGAAGCAAGTGGAAGAGAGAAGAGATTACACTGGATATGATATTATACTTACAGTGTGGATATAGCATAGCGTGTAGTAGAGTAATTATCACTACATACTCTTATGATAATTGTTAGATTCCATGATATAGTCTTTTAGAAAGTAATAAAAGCAGTAATAATATTCGAAGTTGACGTTTTCTACTAGCAAGGGTTAATAGGTACTATGGAATAAATTATTGCGTCCCTTGTCTTGAGCTACCAAACTTGTAACGCTAGTCACTGCGTAGATTGTGAGCTGATAGTGTGATGCTTTGCAAATTAGATGTTGCGTGGCCATATCAAATCATTGTGTAGCATCATTAAGCTAAGAGATAGCTAGCTACTATATTAATAGGGTGTTTGGTATTTATCTTGCAACTATTCTTACTGTTATAGTTATTTTAGTACTAAAAAGTAATTTCTAATCAATGGTAGACAATTGTCTCAAATTATGCGTAATCGAGCCAGCACTTCAGAATAACCCAACACCCAGCTCGGACAACTCGACACGTACGTCGACATCTCGTGAGGACGACTCAAAGGGTGCTACATGTCGACCCCTGGCTGGGTCAACTTATTGACCAACCTACTCGACTGACCATTCTGTCGACATCTCGCAATGACGACTCAAAAGGCAGTACTTCTCAATCTTCTACCGGACGAGTAGAAAGGTGACAACTACCTTGAGGCTTGAAGCCCTTTCCGTGCACTGACAGCCAATCACCTCACAATAAATGTCATTAAATGCATTATGAGCGTCATCATTCCTCTGTCCCCAATAGTCTTTATGACACATCAGACTACGTCGGCACCGCACGCCCCCGATTACTTCGCATTAAATGTCGAAATGACCTCTCCTCCACTCGTCGACCGACACATGTAAAGCAGTTGCTGACTTGGCCGCCAGCCGATACTCGGTCGAAATTACCATCTTACCCCCTACTACCACTATAAATAAGGATACTATTTTCTACAATAAGGTAAGATTTTTTTTCTCTGGACACTATGCTTAAGAACTTCTATAGTTCACTTACTTCTTCACTCAAGCAAATCACTGACTTGATCGTCAGATGAACAACTGGGGAACTCAACCCCGCCCTCTTATGATTTTCTATTTGTGCAGCGAAGAACAATGTACTGTAAAACCCAAAAAATTTGTGTTAATATAATTAATATGTGATTAATTATGATATATGGATATTTATTTTGATAAATATAGTTAAATGTATATGAGTAGTATACCATGTGTTTTGAGTATAAACAAGATCATTCGTGAGGAAGAAAAGAGTCGAAACATGCACAATGGCCAAAAATATGAGAAGTTGGGAAATTTCAATCCGGTCGACCACGAAACCTGCAGAGAGTCAGATTCCTATTTTTGAATTGGTTTCGGTTTTCTAAAACCCACATCCGTTTTTTCTGATTTATATATCATATTTTCACGATATTTTTAGTTTTCTAAGAACCCTAACAGCCACCAAAACCACTTTAAACCCTAATTTGATTCTTGGAGAAGATTGGAGGCTTTCAAGCGATATTTTCGTGTGATTTTTGGCTTTTGGATTGGAGATCTTCTTTGGCTTGGTATCTTAAATGTTTTTCTACAAATCTCAGGCGAGTTCATCTCTGCTAATCCCCCTCCTAGTTTTTAAAACGTTTTGAAAGAGTTTTTAACATGTTCGATAGAGCCAAATTGACTAGTTTATGAATAAAAGTCAATTCTTTTGTATTATATGTATAAAGACTAGGTCTTTCCATGTTAAAAAGTTTGAGAACGGATTTCCAGAAGTATTTAAGATCTGAAAATGATTTAAAACGCTGTTTAATCTGAAGAAAGATGATTTGTTCTTCGTTTTGAGTTTTTATGCATGACTTAGGGTTTTGAATATAAATTTTATGTAAATAATCATGCTATATATGTTGAGTTTGTTACCAGAAGTTTTTATCTGCTGTAGACATGTTTTCATACAAGTTTCACGTTGCTTTAAACATGTTTGGATCACATAAACACGACATGAACACATCACACACAAACAGCCTGAGAATCTGGAAAATCAGCCCACGGTCGACCGTGCCTTAGCGGTGGTCGACCGCGTGCAGGACAAAGGACTTGGTAGGCCCTGGAACCCATCGCGGTCGACCGTCGCATAATTGCGGTCGACCGCCAATCAGTATTTCGGCATGTGCATGTTATTTTTCGTTTGTTTTGGTTTTCGAGCGAGTCTCTCGACCTTGCACTGTTATGATACAATGTTTATGAGTAGTTTAACACATGGGATGTCAGTGAATACTAGATATAGATACGCACACCGAGATATGTGCACGTATGCTTAGAATATGCTGTGTTAACATACTTTTTGTGACAAGTTAAATTGATAAATAAATATGAAGAATATGGTAAGTTCATGTATATGGAATAAGGAGATAAAACCTATTTTTGCAGGATGATTGAGTAAGAGTATTACAAAAGTATCGTCATTTCATGTATCCGGAATAAGGAGATAAAACCTATTTCCGCAGAACGATTGAGTAAGAGTATTACAAAAGTATTGTCATTTCATGTATCCGAAATAGGACGATAAAACCTATTATCGCAGAGCGATTGAGTAAGAATATTACAAGAGTATCGCTATTACACAAGGAGATGCACAAATGTAAATATTATCAGTTATAGTTTTGCTTCTATATTGGATTCCCGCGATGTGACGCCCCAAGGTTCACACAAGGCTGCAGTCCAAGGTAAAACTCGGATTGTCAAACCTGCCAAGCACCAAACACCATGCTGTTAGACCCTAGAAGGGGGTGATTAGGGTCTTATGCTAATCTAATCCCAATTAAAAGCTAATTAAAATTATATTGATTAATTTGATCTTGCAAGATATGAATATGAACAATAAAGATGAATAAGAATACGCTAAGCAAAACACAAACACGCAATATATTTACGAGGTTCGGTCACCACGACCTACGTCCCCGCTCCTCACCTCGAGGAGATATCCACTATCACAATCCGGTTTGGAAGCCGGAACTTCTACACACTCGGTTTACAAGATCACCGAAAACTCTCACACTACACAAACACTATGCAATCATACTTTACACACTAAGTGTAGGAACCTACCCCGTGTCCTCCTCCTCAAGTGCTCGATTACAACCTCTCCCTAGGTTCGTCAATCGACGCCACTCCTATTGGATTTGACCCCGTGTCTCGCCTCACACTTCTCTCGGTGTACAAGTGTATTACAAGTGATTCTCACAAATAAAAGTTAAATACAATGATTTGTTCTCAAATAACAA